TCTATCTATCTATCTATCTATCTATCTATCTATCTATCTATCTATCTATCTATCTATCTATCTATCTATCTATCTATCTATCTATCTGTCTGTCCGTCCGTCCATCCGTCTATCCATCTATCTGTCTATCTATCTATCTATCTATCTATCGAAACTACCACTTAAATTAAATTTGCCTTGACAATTTTTTTTGCAACACTTTATTTTAAGGTGTCCTTGTTACACATTACATTTACTTACTATTATAATAACAATTAATTATGCATAATTACATGCAAGTAACCCTAAGCCAAATCCTAACCATATAGTAAGTACATGTAATTAATTAATATTACTCAGTACTTATGTATAATTACACTGTAACAAGGACACCTTAAAATAAAGTGTAACCACTTTTTTATCTAGTTGTAATTAACATGCAATTAGGCGTCCAAAAACATTCCATTCAGTTTGCACTTAAGTATATTATTTTACAGTATTATTTCCATAATAAGTACAAAAAAATATGCACTTAAAAAGTATGCTGAAGTGTACTGTTTTTCACAAGGGAGGAGATGTGTACATACAGTACATTAATATCATTAACATTCCACTGAACAAAATGACTCATCACACACACACACACACACACACACACACACACACACGTCACATGTTTATGAGTAAAGACTCACTGCGCTGCGATCTTGATGAACTTCTTGAGCAGTTGAACGCGTTTGCTGAGCGTGGGACACAAACAAACCTCTGTGACCACCCACAGCTGAACCTCATTAAAGCGCCGCAGGAACAGATCCAGATTAGCCGTGGTCTTCTTGAAATGCTGACGGCCAAACGTGTGGTAGATCAGCTCATGCTAAAACACAAATGCACAGAGAATTACTAGAACTCTACTGGAAATGGTGAGTAATAAAATACACACATACTAATACAGACTCTTTTAGAACTCTTGTGAAACAGAAGTACACTTTATCATACTTTTTAAAAGAGTACTTATTGCAGAATTAATATACTTTAAAAGAATATACTTAAGTGTGTTTGGATTTAATGTTTTCGGACACTTAAAATTGAGTGCATTTAAATGAAAACATATTGTATGTATATATAATGTACGGCAATTAAATGAAAACATATTATAATTAAATGTATACTAAATGCAATTAGCTGAAGTTACTTACTTTTTATATGCAATAATATCTATATACTGTATATATATTAAATTAGTACTTTTTAATATGCAATTTCATAATTAATTTCATTAGCACTTCTATTGTCTCTTTGAAATATGGTTGAAGTGTACGGCTGAATGCACAATGACAAGCTTTATGGTAAACTAAAATATATTTTGAGTGAACGCAAGCAGCGTACGCTCTTCTGTGTCAACTGCGACACAAGGATACGTTTTCTACGTGTATTTCTGCTTTGATTTGAATGAAAAAGGCGCATCTCTGCAGCTCGGCTGACACAGAAGAGCGTACGCTGCTTGCATTCAGCGGATATTCTCCAAAATGGCGCTACGGTGATGTGGAGAGACACAGAGGAGACGAATTGTTGAATAAAGTCGTTATTTTTGTTTTCTTTGCATACAAAAGGTATTCTCGTCGCTTCATAACGTTATGGTTGAACCGCTGATGGCAGATGGATTATTCTGATGATGTCTTTCATACTTTTCTGGACCTTGACAGTGTAAGTTGCTTGGCAGTCAATGTGACAGTCACAAGCCTCCCGGTTTTTATCCAAAATATCTTAAATTTTAAAATCTTAAAAGTTTTTTTAAGAGATTAGATCTGAATATTTGAGGTTGTTGTACACATCAAGTGCACATTCAATGAAATTAAGCACACTTATTTTTCACAAGAGTATGTATGAGCATTGATTAATGTTTATATGTAAAAAAAAGGCTTAATTAAATCTGTTCATCATATAAAGTGATCGTGTCTCTTTAAACTGGGATTAAAGTGCTTTATTCATATGGATTACTTTTACAGTGTCTTCATTAACTTTTTGAAATGTCAACATTTTGGCTGCGTGGACTTTTAATAGATGGACAGATATTCCTCAGGTTTCATTCAAAATATCTTAATTTGTGTTTCGAAGATGAATTAGTCTCATGGGTTTGGAACGACACGAGGGTATGTAAACAATGACAGGATTTTTATTTTTGGGTGAACTATCCCTTTAAGTGAGAGTCATTTTAAAACAGAAGCAGAACTGTGTGTATGTACCTCATGTACACAGTCGAAGAGCTCCCAGTCATAGAGAGTCATCTGATGAGCCAGATCTTTAGAGCTCATGAGCTCAAACGTGGACATGGAGCCTGCAGACGGACCTTCCTGCTCCGGCAGTGGAGTCTACATGAACAAGTCAATCGATTGATCAGTTAATCAGCCAGTAAGTGAATGTATGTTTGATTCTGTGTGTTTACAGCCGATGTGTGTTTTAAATGCAGTCTCCAGGGGCTCTTACACACCAAAGAGTCGATCTGCTCCCTCGGGCAGACAAACAGACGGCCATTAATACTCAGTGATGAGAAGATGGACACATCAGATGGCTTTAGAAGCTCTTTATCTGAAACACACAAACACAAAGTCATCAGACTTTCTGCTTTTAAAGATGTTGGTTATCAGCCGCTTCTCAAAGTATTTTTTACAATATGTACTTGTCAAAAAGCAAAACATAAGGTAAAATGAATAGTTTACCCAAAAAAGAAAATTTGCTTAAAATGTACTCACCCTGAGACCATCCAAGATGCAGATGAATTTGTTTCTTCATCAATTTTGGAGAAATGTAGCATCACTTGCTCACCAATGGATGCTCTGCAGTGAATGGGTGCCGTCAGAATGAGAGTCCAAACAGCTGATAAAAACATCACAATAATCCACATTCGAGTCCAGCAATTAATGTCTTGTGAAACGTCTCAGGTTACGTATGTAACCCTAGTTCCTCGAGGGAACGAGACGCTGCGTCGGAAAACGCTAGGGGAACGCCCTTCAGCGTGACGGGCTCTGAAACTCATGTGTAATCAGACTAATAGATGGGCGAGACATCACGGCGGGTGACGTAATGACCAGGAAGCTATAAAAGCACGTGCGGTGAGACCAACGCCAGCTCCAGGAATGAAGCAAGCGCTGGCAGGGATGCCAGAAGTATGGCACCAAGACGCAGTGTCTCGTTCCCTCGAGGAACTAGGGCTACATACGTAACCTGAGACGTTCCTCTTCAGGAACTCAAGCTGAGTCGGAAAACGCTAGGGGAACGAGAATGCCCACGCCGCCAGACTCCGAAGTCTCTGCCCAGTGTGGAAGATTGCACCGCTAGGGCGAGAGGACAGAAGAGCCGGGAGTGGCTCGCAAGTCTAAATCATAGAACCTAACAAAGGTGAGGGGCGTGGACCAACCCGCCGCGTTGCAGATATCCTGCATAGGAACACCCGCTAAAAAGGCCTTAGAGGCTGCCACACTACGTGTTGAGTGAGCCTTGACCCCTAACGGCGAGGGAAGATCAGAGGACTCATACCCGCTGGAGATGGCATCCACTATCCACCGACTGAGGGTCTGCTTAGTTGCCGGCAGACCTCTCTTAGGGGGACCATAACACACCTACACACTGACTGGCCACCAAGAGGGGCGTGGTAGGCTGCAATAGCCGCCACGTATACCTTCAGGGTGGAGTGGGTCAACCCAGCGGAGAAACGGGCCTGCAAGAACTCCAGCACTGTACCAACCGGGCAGTTAACTGGGTTTAGCTGGCGGTCTCCGCACCAAGAAGTGAAAAGTTTCCACTTCAAGGCGTACAGTCTCCTCGTGGAGGGAGCTCTGGACGGGACAGACAACACCAAATAAGACTCACAACTGACACACACACAGAGCGCTTGCTGAATGACAAAAAGCTGGCGTTGGTCTCACCGCACGTGCTTTTATAGCTTCCTGGTCATTACGTCACCCGCCGTGACGTCTCGCCCATCTATTCGTCTGATTACACACGAGTTTCAGAGCCCGTCACGCTGAAGGGCGTTCCCCTAGCGTTTTCCGACGCAACTCGAGTTCCTGAAGAGGAACCAAAAGCTGCATGTTTGTTAGAAACAAATCCATCATTAAGATGTTTTTAACTTCAGATTGTTGCTTTAAAATACGAGTCCTCTCTCCATGATAACGCTTTCCCAGTGAAAAAAATAAGTACAGATCAAACACTGTTTACAAGTGAAAACAGCTATAAATAAATATGTTGGTGGATTTTGATGTGAGAGGAGGAGATGGACTTTTTCACTGGAGAAAGCGTTATTATGGATTATAGACTTGTATTTTGAACAGAAACGTCGGTGTGAAGTTAAAACCTCTTATTTAATATAATTTAATTTATGCATTTAGCAGACGCTTTTATCCAAAGTGACTTAGAGTGCATTTAGGCTATACGTTTTTTACCAATATGTGTGTTCCCTGGGAATCGAACCCACAACCTTTTGCGCTGCTAACGCAATGCTCTACCACTGAGCCACAGGAACAAAAACAAATCATATGGATTTGTTTCTTACAAACACTCAGCTTTTCACTTCACAGGATGTTAACTGATGGACTGGAGTGGTGTGGATTATTGTGATGTATTTATCAGCTGTTTGGACTCTCATTCTGACGGCACCCATTCACTGCAGAGCATCCACTGGTGAGCAAGTGATGCAATGCTACATTTCTCCAAATCTGATGAAAAAACAAACTCAAATACATCTTGGATGACCTGAGGGTGAGTATATTTTTAGAAACATTCCATTTTGGTGAACTATTAATTTCGAATGCTATGCCGTTAGCGAGTTTCGCACAAGCACCACTTATATATTCTTCCGAAAATGTACAAATCTAGTATAATATGTACTGTTGATTTATGAGACCTAATGTGTGTAATTTAGGAAAGCCACTAAAACTTAAGATATAAAAGCAATCGTCATCATCACCAAATTTCACATTCGGAGATCAACTTCAACCAGCAGCCTCTTACATCAGCATACCACAAGAAAAACACAAACACATCCATAATGCCACTTTGGCTTGAGTTGACATCAGGTTCATGCGGTGTGTTATTGCGTCTGGTTGCTAGAACAGTGTGTTTCATAAAACCTTTGTCCTTCTCTACATCATCAACACTGCAACATGCATATCGTGCTGCCGGAGCTTTTCTTCCTCATATTTGCAATCAGCTGGTGTTTTGGTGATTTTTTGTGGAGGAATTAAGTGTAGAAAAATCACACTATAAACAATAAACATGATCAACTATCTTTTCTCAAACACAAAGTGTCACAGTTTTATCTTCTTTTTAAACAGCATACCCTTTTAAAAAAGAAGCGCATCTGTAGTGTACTTCAGAGTATATTATAATATAATTTTAATGAAATAAAAAGGACATTTAAGTGTGGTTAAGTGTAGTGTAGTACGCCACACTTAACTATTTTAAATTTATTGTAATTTTAACAGTAGTGTGTTATTCAGTATCGCATTTAAAGTTCATGTATTTTAAATGTACCAAATTCATCATTACAAATGTGTAATTAAAAATATATTTAAATACATGACATGCAAGATTCAGTAGAAATTAAATTAAAGTTTTAATTAAAAAAACTTTAAATTTTAAAGTGAAATCTTAGTTTTAGTATTTTCGTATATTTAGAATTTTAGTATCCTTAAACCAGACAACAGAATTGCATATAAAAATGTAATTAAGGCCCACTTAAATTGATAAAAAAAATCACTCTAAAGTTCCGTTAAATGAATTTAATATAATTTTAAACCATATTACATTTTAATTGAATTACAATTAGCATGCAGTTAAGTGGCAAAAAAAACATTACATTCCCTTGGCACTTAAGTATATATATATATATATATATATATTTTTTTTTTTTTTTTTTTGCTTAATAAGCACTTTTTAAAAAAATACTAAAGTGTTCTTCCTTTTCACAAGGGTATCAAACTTATCATTTCAAAACCTAACAAACTTATTTTTGTCAAATGTTTTGCTTGAAAACTGTTTGTGCAATTTTTTTTAATGAATGCTTATTTTTATCCAATACAGTGTCACTCAAACATTATCAGCATGAATAGTGTCCAAACACTTGCTACTGGATGTGGCTGCAAGTGTAAATGTGTCTGTCCATGTGTGCCCATGTGTTTGTATTTGTGCGTGTGTCTATGTGTTTATGTGTGTGTGTGCCCATGTGTTTGTATTTGTGTGTGTGTGTGTGTGTGTGTTTGTGTGTGTGTGTCTGTGTGTGAGTGTGTGTGTGTGTGTGTGTGTGTGTGTGTGTGTATATGTATGTGTGTGCCCATGTGTTTGTATTTTTGTGTGTGTGTGTGTGAGTGTGAGTGAGTGTGTGTGTGTGTATGTATGTGTGTGCCCATGTGTTTGTATTTGTGTGTGTGTGTGTGTGTGTGTGTGTCTGTGTGTTTGAGTGTGTGTATCTGTGTGAGTGTGAGTGAGTGAGTGAGTGTGTGAGTGTGTGTGTGTGTGTGAGAGTGAGTGTGTGTGTGTGTGTGCCCATGTGTCTGTATTTGTGTGTGTTTGAGTGTGTGTATCTGTGTGTGTGTGTGTGTGTGTGTGTGTGTGAGACAGTGAGTGTGTGTGAGAGTGTGTGTGTGTGTGTGTGTG